CCGCCACAACCACGGCGGCCCAGGCGGCGTCCGAGCGGCGGCAGGAGCCGCAGCGGCGCGCGCTGGGGGAGGCGCTGTCTGCGGCCGCTGGTCGCAGCGGCGGCGGTGGCGGCCGCTGGGTGTCGCCGGGCCGGGCAGTCGCCAGTGGGCGCCCAGCGAAGGGGGTGGGGTGGTGTGGCCCCCCATTGCAGCAGGGGGCGAGGCAGCGCACAGCCGGGCATGAGGCGGCGCTGACCAAAGGCGCGGGCGATGGTGCAGTGCCGATATTTTCGCTGACTGCGTGGGACTACGTGCGGTGATGGCGGTCTGGCTGCAAAGCTTTGGCTGGTGTCACAACATGACTGATTACCTTGACATGACATGACATCACATCACTCTCGGCCCCTTCTCCTCGCATGGGTCATCCATAGACGATGCTTAGAGCTTTCTTTCTCCGAGGACACGACTCACCATGTGACCGATGATGTGGCGCCCTGCGCATCCCCGTGGCTTCCTGACTTACCTAGTGTGTGGTTGCTTTGGTGACTGGTTGACTTGTTGTCTGTTACACACAGCTGCTCCGCCACCAGTCGTGGAGCATGCTTCAAGCCAAATGACCCGTCATTGGATGCTCTCAGTGATTTGGAGGGGGGGGGGTGAGTTTGCCGCTGAGCGTGCTCGCAAGCCCCCAGCAGGCGTCCCACATGACCCTCGATGGTTGCCGCCAGCTGCGGCGCGATCGATGTAGAGCATCGCACCAAACAATCAGCAGGGGGTCAGTCATCCTGGTGTTGCTGCCAACAGCGCCGGGTGCCTCGCCTGGTTTGCGACGGGTCACTGCCAGTTGTCGGCGACGTCGCACACAATCGGCGAGTGCGCGAGCAGCTAACGCGCACCGGACTGCTGCTGGCACAGCCTTGTAAGTTTTGCGGCTGCCGAAAGGGTGCATTCTTCTCGCAACACAGGCGCTGAAGGGCCCGTACATTATACATACCCAGAACGGCTTCAGCGCCTTGTTGTTCTTTGCACAGCGCTTGATCTCGCTCCTCGCCATCTGCACCGGATGGACAAGTAGCTTATCATCTGCAGATCCACTTTGGGTGCCTGGTACTAGCAGTGGGGCGCGCGTAGTGTTTGGTTGGGGGCGGTGACCTGCCCAGCGGCACGTCCTGCTGGTGAGCGGGTATATTATCCATTCAAGCTCTATTTGCTGATGACATCAATCATGTTCTGACCGCGTGTCACGTTGCTCTCAACGCCAGATTTGCCTGACCGCGCGCGCAAGCCCAGTGTCTTGGCAGCAATGGAGGCCGTCAGAGAGGCCATGCAGTGGCTGGCAGTCAAATTGGAAGGCCTGCTGGCCGCTACGGAGCCTCAGGATCAGGCGCGGCTCGCGGCGCTGTCGGTGGTCGCGCTCGCCGGCGCGGTGCTGCTGACCAACGCCGTCCTCAGCGTGCTTCGCTTCGCGCGCCGCGAGCTCATGCTGCGCCCAATCGCCTCGGCGCCCGGCGGCAATCCCCTGCTCGGCCACGCGCTCGTGCTGCTCAACGCGCCGAAGCGCGGCAAGGGCGCGTGGGACGTGATTGAGGAGTGGGCGGCGGTCAAGGGCAACGTCTGCCGCTTCCGCATCCTCGGCACGCACTCGGTCGTCATCGCTGACCCCGGCGCCCTCAAGCGCGTGTTCCAGACCAAGTTCAAATCGTACAGCAAAGACCTGCGGCTCTCGTACCACCCCTTTCTGCCGATCCTCGGCACCGGCCTCGTCACCGCCGACGGCGACCTCTGGCAGAAGCAGCGGCTGCTGATGGCGCCCGCGCTGCGGGTGGACATCCTGGATGACATAATCCCAATCGCGAAGCGCGCGGTGGACCGGCTGAGCGAGAAGCTGCGGGGGTTCAAGGGTACGGGGCGCGAGGTGCACCTGGAGGAGGAGTTCCGGCTGCTGACGCTGCAGGTGAGCTGCCGGTGGGGGGTTAAATGACGGCCCGGGTGGTGAACGGGCTACTTGAGGGCTGGGTGGTCCTGCAGGTTTGAGGCGGCGGCAGCGGAGGGGCTGCGCAGGGGAGCGAAGCTTGCTGCTGTTGACGCGGTCATTGCGCGAGCATTGGGCGGCAGCTCTCAGCTGCTCGTGCAGGGTTGGATGGCAGCGTGACCGATTTCTTGGCGCGACCGGCTGCCGTGGCGGTTGCAACTGAGGGAAAGTTGCTGCAGCTGAGCTGACTGCACAAGGTGCCGCATGACGATTGCTTCGGCCGCCAACCTCCAGGTCATCGGCGAGGCGATCCTGTCGCTGCCCCCGGAGGAGTGCGACCGCGTGTTCCCGCAGCTGTACCTCCCCGTCATGGAGGAGGCCAACCGCCGCGTGCTGCTGCCGCACCGCAAGTATTTGCCCACCCCAGACTGGTTCAGGTGCATGGCGGGAGGGACGAGCGCGGGGACGGGGCGGCGAGGTGGTTTACGGGGGCTGTGGAGCGTGGCGGCGGGCGGGAAGGCGGCAGGCCGGCCTGACAGGCTGCGACAGGGTTTTGCTGCCGCTGCGCGCAGCAGCGAGCGAGCGGGCAGTGCGGCATGTCTTGCGCGTCCTGCCTCTCAAACAAATGGAAAATACGCGCATGTTTCCGGCGGGGCCGCAGGTTCCGCAGCAACATCACGGCGCTGAACGCGTACTTGGTGGGGCTCATCCGGGAGCGGTGGCAGGCGCGGCTGGCGGGGCAGCGGCCGGCGCGCGACATTCTGGACAGAATCCTCGCAGCGCTGGAGGTGGGTGGGTGTGGGGCCCGGGGAGGGTTGCTGGGCCTGAAGGAGGGCCCAGCAAGGGGCAGGGTTGACAAGGTACCGGGCTTGTATAGGGGTGGGTGGCTGCTGGGATGCGTGGCCGTGCGGCGCAGCCGGAGGGGCTGGGTGTATGGAAAACGGTGATCGTTGGAGCAGCAGTTGCTGGAGGGACACGGGCTGAGACATGCTGGCAGCAGCTGGGCGCGGCGGACGGTGAGGCAGCTTCATGGGGAACTCGGCTGGCTGGCCAGTAGTAGGAGGCATGGCGCCTGAGCACCACCCCCTCCTGGACCACGCCCGTGCCTTTGTCCCCCAGGCGTCTGGCACTAAGTGGGATGCGGCCATCGAGACTCAGCTGTGCTACGAGATCAAGACCTTCCTGCTGGCCGGCCACGAGACCAGCGCGGCCATGCTGATGTGGAGTGTCTTTGAGCTGTCGCAGAACGAGGCGGCGCGGCGTCAGGTGCGCGCGGCCGGGACGGCGGGCGGCAGCGGCGGCCGCAGCACGTGCCACAGGGGCGGCCTCGCCTTGGGTCAGCCGAAAGTTTGGGGCTTGCCGTCACAGACGATTGTTCCTTGCCCTCATGTGGCAGATCTGCAGCCCACAATCGAATTTCGCGATTTCTGCCCATGCAGGTCGTGGAGGATGCTGAGCGCGCATTTGGCAAGGCCAACGCCACCCCCTCGCGCCGTGCGGCGGACGAGATGGCCTACACCCTGTCAGTGCTCAAGGAGGCCCTCCGCAAGTGAGACGGGGCCGGCGCGGTGCGCGGCAGGAGCGACGGCACGCGCGCGCCTGGGGCGCCGTGGGCGCGCAACAAGCGCCCGTGTGCGCGTGCACAGAGGGTTGCGGGGAAGCGGCTGGCCGAGGTGTGCCCTGAGAGCCTGGGTCTCCGGAGCGGCCGTCTGGCCTGGCCCCTGTGTGATCACGCCCGCTGCCCCCTCGTCTGCCGCCCGCGTGACGCGCGTCATCAGGTACTCTGTCGTGCCGGTGGTGACGCGGGAGCTGCTGGAGGACGACACCCTGGCGGGATACAGGATCCCCGCGGGCACCATGATCACGTGCCAGCTGCAGGTGCGGCCCGTGGCCGGCGTCTGCATGCACGCCCACGCGTGGCACCCGCGCACGCCGCATGTGCAGCCGCCACGCACGAGCGGCCTTGCCTTGATTAGCTGCAGCGTTCTCGGTGGCACGGCAACGCCAAGTGCAACCGGCAAATTCCTCTTTCTCTTTGCCCGCACACACACACACACACACACACACACACACACACACACACACACACACACACACACACACACACACTCAAACCCTGCCGCTTTTCAACCTGCACCAACCAGGGCGTCCACAACCAGTGGCGCGACCCCACCGTCTTCCGCCCCGAGCGCTTCATGCCTGGCGGGGAGTACGACGAGTTCGACGAGTCGATCCGGCCCTACATGTTCCTGCCCTTCATCCAGGGGCCCCGCAACTGCCTGGGGCAGCACCTGGCGCTGCTGGAGGTGCGGGGTGGGGGCTGAGGGGCGGCCCGATGCAGCGCGCATCTCTGTGGTTGTGGTACCAGTAGTTGCTGTCTCAACAATTCGATTGAAGTTTTTTTGTTGCTGTTGTGCAAGTGAAATGTGTGTGCGTGTGTGTGCACTCGCATGCATGTGTGTTTGTGTGGCCGCGCGCGCTTTTGTGTATGCGTGGCTGCATGCGTCATATGGGTGCATGCGTGTGTTCATGTGTGGGCCCGTGTGTGTGTGTGTGTGTGTGTGTGTGTGTTGTGTGTGTGAGAGAGAGAGACAACGTGGCAGATGCCCAGCCTTTGCAGCCTCCGCAGTTTCTTCTGAAGCGGATGAAGGCTGCCAGGCACCCGCACTCCATCCAATGTGCCAGCCTATGTCACTGTCACGGCCGCCTCCCCCAAC